AAATGTCAAGGGTTGCGGGAGGGTGTGTTTCTGAACTGAAATGAGCCAAGGAAGCGGCATAAGTTTGGCTTGCATTTCACAGGATTCACGGGAATGGATATTCACTACCAAGTTTGTCGTTCTCGGGATGAAAAACACTGTTTGATTATATTATAACGCAGTCTGAAAACATTCATCAAAATAAAGACACACTTGCCTGGCAAATTTGTTGGTGGACATCTGTAAAAGGGTGAAAAATGAAAAAAAAAAAACTGGAGACTGTGGGGTTGAACAATGCGACTTCTTTTTAGCAAAACTTTGCCCATGTATTCATTACGCTGCGTTGGTTACGACACAGTAATGAGATTGCATAACGTTGGACAGTTCTCCCAAAAAAGAGGCTCGTTCTTCTTCTTGGCTATCACGTCCCAACTGAAACTGTGAACCTGCCCTTCAGCTGAGCGTTCTTTGAGCACTTGCATGTTGAATGTTCCAGCTCGAAACAATCCTTGAACAGGCTGGGAATCGAACCCGACGCCTCCAGCATGATTGTGCATAATAGCTACATCTTTACCAACACAGCTAATGAAGCCCCAGAAAAAAAGGGGCTCGTATATTAGTCAATTAGGGCCGAGCCCCTTTTGTCAAACACACAGGTTTTGCAAAGAATGTTGCGACAGTACCTAGTCAACGAATTCTACGCATTTTTCGACTTCAGCTACACAGAGGGAGCCTTTCATCACCGGATCCGACGCAAATTGCAGGATAGGTGATAAATATAGACTGTTCTAGAAATAAAAAGTACACCTTATCTTAGCTGCCATTTCTAACTGGATGAAACATTTTCTAGTGACCGTTGGGGAGAGAGGCCTTAGGCAGATGTTAAATTTTATTATTCAAGTTTCACACTTTTTATGTGTACAAAATTTAAGTCAATTTGATCGATTTTTGCTATAGGACATTTTTTGCTAAATTCTTATGCATGAAAAATGTCATTAAAGAACTTCTTTGTATGTTTTAATCCCCCGATGAAAAATTTCTTTAGTTAGTGAACAATTCCATTCATTTTTTTTTTCATTTTAATTTGCTGGCTCCGATTTTACTGAAATTTTGCACATTTGTTTATTTGTCGTCAATCTTACAATAGTTCTGTTGCCTTACATGCTATTTAAATTCAAACGTTTAATTTGAAATTGTCAGTAAATGTAGACTGCATATCCAAAAATCTAAAAAATAAAAATTGTTTCAAACTTAACGAGATGAAATCCTAGCAGTTAGTGTTCTCCTTACTGTATCTTTAGACATCGTTAGATCTAAACGCTCACAATAATTATTATACACTCTCATCATTCTATTGATTGGTCCATTTTTACGATAATTCGCTCTGTGAGGTGACAGTTAAAACTCATTTCGAGTTCTTAACATGCGTGATGGTACGTAAAAATTTAAGCTTGCTAATATTTTTCGGAATTTACGCGTTGTGAGATAATATCATTAACAAAGGATGTCATGGAAGTTTCTCTTCGTTTCTTAAGTGTTTCAATGTTTATCAACATGCAACGGGACTCATAAGAAGGAAGGGGGAAAAAAGTCCAGCTTAGTTTCCTAAGAGCAAATAACAAAAACTGTTTTTGAACTGATTCTATTCGATTTATATAAGTTTCATGATATGGAGCCCAAACCACACTGCAATATTCGAGAATTGATCTCACGTAAGCTATATAAAGTGATTTGATGGTATATGGGTCTTTAAAATGATAACTAAATCTTTTTATGCATCCCAACATATTACTTGCTTTGTGAATTGTGGTATTCACATGATCTACAAATGTCAACTTCGAGTCAAGAATTATTCCTAAGTCCCTAATTTTATCGCACCTTACAACCAGCTGGTTTCCAAGAGTACATGTAAAATCTAGAGTAGTGTGTTTTCTGGAATAAGATATAATATTGCATTTTTTAACATTAATGTCCAGCAGACTTTTAACGCCTCAATTGTAGAAAACATCAATTTCATTTTGAAAATGTAGCAAATCAGAATTATTAAAGATTTCCATGTACAGTTTCATATCGTCAGCATATATGAGCACATTTTAACGATTTAACACAAACTTCACGTCATCCACAAATAAAATAAATAATAAAGGACCTAAATGAGATCCCTGTGGAACTCCCGAGGTAACATTAACTGGCGAAGATATTTTTCCTTTAAAGCGGACCATCTGTGTTTTTTCTGTCAAGTATGATCCAATCCATATTAAAAGTGTTCTTGTCATACCTAAACTTTTTAATTTAAAAAGAAGTAAGGGAATGTCTACTCTGTCAAAGGCCTTACTAACATCAGTGTATAAGGTTTCAACCGTATAACATATTGCTCAATTACATCCGAACATTGCATCGCAAATCGGAATCACAGGATACAAGCGAAAGTCAGATCAACTAATTGTACCTCAAGAAGCCTCTCCATCTAAGAAACTAAAGACAGTAACTGTGCAAGTAGATCCTGTCGATTTTCAATGCGGATTAGTTGAAATGCTTGCCATAAACTCGGTTCCTTTAAACTTTCTTAACTCGAAAGCATTTCCATCGACAAATGGAATTCTCGCCAAAGCTCTAAATATTCCGTCATACGGTGAAGCAATGGCTTCGATGATCCCAAAAATTGCAAACATCATACGAAGCATGATTGCTAAGGAACTCAACGGATTATTTTCTTTGGAATTCGATGGTGCTCAACGACACAACCGGAAAATTTTTGGGATCAATACGAGAACTCTAGTCAATGGCAAGTTTCGAACGCGAACTCTGTCCATGGGAATTTGGTTTGTAAGGATTTTTCTGATCTTAATCACTTTCAAATGACTGTGATTATATATGTTTATGGTTTCATCCATATGCGCTTTGGACTTTCAAGAAAGGAAAAAAAGAAGAAAATTGAAGCCCTTGACTGAAACACTGCTCAGATAGGGTCAAAGTTGTTTGAGTATAAATTAGGACTGAAAAATAAGTTACATCGGAAGTTTTCTTAAAAATAATATGTAGCTTAAATATCAATCTATTTTCTATTCAAGTCTACTTTTCAATGAAAAAAGTAACGATGAAAATATAAACAATTTATTGAGAACTGATATCAATCGAGCATATATAAAATTCAACACACCTTTCTTGAAATTATACGTGATTTATATAAGCCCGTTGTTTAACAGTACCTTTTCCCATTTCGTATTATTTAATCCACACAGGAGCACATTCTTACAGTAAGCAATATTTTAACAACATTTAATACCAGTCCATCCGATGAACAGCAACCGGGAACATCGAATCAAGATTCCAAAAACCCAACAGAAGACGATTTGGAGGCTTTACTCGAGGAAGAGTGCCAGCAAGCATCTTCTTATAGGTTGTGTCCTTCTCAAGTTGATCTTAAGCTGAGGCTTTTGGATTTGGCAAACACAAAAAGTCGACTTCCAGTCAACACAGATATTGTGAAATATTGGGAATCTCGACGCTATGAAGATCCACAATTGTATGCACTTTCAACGATTACATTATCCGCATCAGCTACACAGGTCTAAGTTGAGCGGTGCTTCTCAGCAATCAAGCTATTGCTGGAGCAACATCGGCTGCGAATGTCCCCACAAATGCTCAATGATTTGATGACTATTCGGTTCAGTCGTGATTTGTTGCCTACTGCCATTAACAAATTCCAACAAACTGTATAAATATTTTATCTTTTCGTTATTTGTTATTTTGATTTTCAACTGATTGATTCGATTTGTTGTTTTATTGTTTATGTGGTTAAATAAATGGAAACTAAAAAATAAGTATATTACTGAGCAATAATAAAAGAATAAAACCAACCAACAATTTTCCAATTTTTTGTGCAGCTTTTGTCCGACATTATTTTATTCCAGAATACTGCATCCACTTCCTCTATCAATCCTTCTTTATTACTAAATTAAAATTGAACTGCACTATAAACATTGCGCAATGCTTGACTGACTTTAAGTCTTTTAAAAGCAATTTTTAATTAATTTAATTAAAGGCAACTACGCACAGTCAGAAAGATATTGATGTTGACGATTGTCGCAAAACCGGACAAAATCTCTCTTTACATTAAACTGCAATTATAATACATAAACTTCGATATAACATACATTTTGATTTCACGACTGTATGTTATATCGAATTGTATCTTATATAGAAGCATGATTTTTAAATTAAGAAACACATTTCATTTTGCATTATTTTGATAAATTATAAGAAAATATAGCATATTTTGGTAATATTGTTCATCTAGAAGTGCAAAACAGCCTTTCTTAAAAAAAAATCATATTTTTCTTGAACAAAAGGAAACCCCCCTTCAGAGATAAGCTGCAGTACAGTCTCCTGTAGGAACAACAGCTTCATTTTTTCAGTTCACAATACGATTATTACTAATAATGCGTGATTTAATTAATGCATCGGTAATTACCGTTTATAGCAACGCGAAATTGAGATATGAATGAAATATTATGTAAGCGGTGACTAGGGGTAAAGTGAAAAAAACAATAAAAATCAAAAGACGCTTCTTTAGCAATTGTTGGAGGAGTAAGGAGAAAAAAATTTAAACATAACTGTAAATCATACAAGATGCACACATTTTTCTTAGATGTAAATATATTCTTAGATGAAATTTACCAGTGGAATAAGCGTTTTAAATAACAAATGCATGGTCCTATTCAAATTTATTGATTAAGGTTATTGATAATAATCTATGATTAGCATTCTATTTTCCTTCGAAAATATATATTTAGTAACATTCAACTTGTTAAGAATTCAATGGAATTTATCATATCGTGTAGTTTTTCGAGTTAAAAAAATCAGTTCAGGAAATTAAATAACCATTCATGTTTACATAACAACCAATGCATCAAATAAGATATTCACTCTTGAGATTTATCAAGTCTTTCTAGTTACTATGTTGTTCAAGATGTCTTGTCTCATTTTACGCAAAGAAAACTGGGTGTTAAGCGACCAACCTTGCTCTTCCGCATACCTAAGCAGAACGTCAGCTCCATTCAAAGCAGCTTCATCAGAAACGTTAACATTTTCATCTTCAGGATCAACCGATGTAGAAAGATGTTGGCTATCCTCGTGATCTTGGTTCGTTGTGTAAAAGAAGTCATCAACTGATGGGTTGAGTATTTTCTCAACGATTTCATCGTCCTTCAGGATCTCGAACTCTGCGTTTTCCTCGTCAATTGTTTCCAGCTGGTTAATATTATTCATTATGTTCCTCAGCCTTTCTTGCAATACGGACAATGGCAAGTCGTCCTCATCATCACCCGGTGTCTCCGTATACAATATTTTCCAGGACTTCTGAATGGCAGATTCCGGAACAGCTTCCCATGCTTGGGCAATCCAAAACATGGCATCTTTGATGTTGATGCGTTTGACGTTATCGTGAAAATCATCACCTCTTCCAAGAATCTCGTTTGTCATGATCTTCTTGTAACGAGCCTTCACCAGCTGAATAACATGCTGATCCATCGGTTGGATTACAGCGGTGGTATTGGGTGGCAAAAATTTGCAAAATATGGCTCCGTCATCTGTTCGCAATTGCTCTGTACTATAATGAGCCGAACAGTTATCCAATACGAGAACAGCTTTCACAGGATGGCTTAGTCCTTTTAAAAAATCAGTAACTAGCGGGACGAATTGCTCAAAAAACCAATTTTTGAACAACTCCCTCGTCATCCACGCATTTTTGGATGCTCTGTAGTAGACAGGAAGATCCTTTAGGTTCTTCAGTGGTCGAGGATTTTTGTATTTTCCAATTAACATGAGTGGAAGCTTCAAAGAACCGTCCATATTTGAACAGGGCATAAAAGTTATGCGCTCCTTATTGACTTTTCTACCAGGAGCACTGGCAGAATTCCGGTCGACGAATGTTGTTGATGAGATTGCTTTGAAATATAAGCCACTTTCATCAGCGTTGAAAATTTGATATGGTTGCAAGTTACGACAACGCATTTCTTGCGAGAAATCTATAACATATTGGTCGATAACCGCAAGGTTGCTGGACAGTTTTTCCCCAGTTATCTTAAGAATGCAAATATCATGCCTTTTGATAAATTTGTCAACATACCCACGGCTACCATATTCACCTTCCCCAATCATCTGTGAATAGAACTTCTGAGCCTGTACTTGAAGCATTTCGTGGCTTACAGGAACGTTTAGCTGCCGTTTTTGCAGGAACCAAACGTATAACGCCTAGTCTACCGCTGGATATCGAGGCTTCTTGAAGCGCTTTCGGTTAGCTGTGAACCGATTGACACATGAGAAATTGTTTAGAGTTTGTCATGAATGCACTTACCAATATTTCCTTGAACTTCCGCAATATTCGACATTATTTTCTGCTTCGCACGAATGATGCCACTAACTGTCGCTCGCGATTTTATGTTGTATTTATGCATTATTGATTTTATGGACATCCCTTGTTCTGCATCCTGAATTATTTTTACTTTGTCGGTTAAAACAACAACGGAACGTTTCCTTGTTTTGTTACAAGTTAATTCTTTAGGAATTTTCGGAGCCATTTTTGTGTATTTGTTTCGATTTGATTTAAACTTTGAATGAATGTGTCTAAGCCACTGGTCCTATATCAATAACTAAGAGGAAGAGGAGACAATTGCCTTCTTACTCTTTTATTTCTATCTCTATCTCTATCTCTATCTTACGCACTTCAAATCGACCAATCACGAGCTGGTTCGCGTTTGACAGAAAAGTGGTTCGTTTTCGCCCCCTTATTGTCTCCTCTTCTCTTACACTGTACCAAAACATCATGCTCTGTTCGAATGAAACCTCAGACCATTCGAATCGAAACATCGAAATTGCTTTTTCAAATGATAGCTGCAACCGGACGACGATTGTTTTGTACTCAGATGATGCTCCTCTCGAATACAGGATGAACATTGATACGAGAAGCGAACGGACCTCAGTTGAAATACGTAATGCTCTCTGTAGAATGATTGTCATCCCAAATTGAAATGCATATTGTACTGATTCAGCCCCATAACGAAAATCCTCCAAAACGATGATGTAAATCATTCTATCGAACGTCTTTTGCCGATCTGAGCTGAGAAACGAGCTGAAAACATATTCATCGCTATCAGAGGTGGTCCGAGCATTGATAAAGCGTAGGAACCGAAGATTGTCTATTACGTGGTGGAAGAAGTTTCGTCTACCAACAAAAGATTTTTGTATCCATGATGGAATGGCTGTTCCTGGCTATTCAAAATAAAAATATAAACAATCGAACTATCAATCCAATTTTAAGCATTTGCAAGCCATCCTATTAGCACTGTATGTTGTACAGCCAATTTTCAAATAATTATCATCCTTTATTTAGAGGACAGTCATATGGATGCTCGTCAGCTGATGACGAATTCAACCATAAGGCAATCATCCAAAATTCGAAAGCATATTGCTAAAGGGCTCGACCAATGCAATAATCATCCGAAGTATTGCGGATATTTTCGTTCAGTGCAGATCAATAACAGTGTTTGACAGAAACTTTCATACAAGGTGTATATAAAACTTAGTAGAGGTGGGAATATTGTACGCTGATCTGACTATGTTTTAAAATCAGTGTCAACTTCAACTGCTAATTTCTCGTGAGTAAAAGCTCATACACATGATATTTAAATGAACAGATAATGTGTTTGATTTAAAAACTCAATTGAGGGACATCAAAATACGAACACTCTTGCTTTCCTATATGCTCCCACCTTTCCTATGTCACGATGAGAAATGTAGTCAACATGAGAATGACATTCATAGGATGGATGTACCGTATGCTCGGTAATGGCGGTCTTCGTGTATATGAAAAGCGTTCTTTACAATGTTTGACAGCTGCTGGTTAAAAAGCTTTTCTCCCCTCTTCGCCTCTCAGTAGAGCATATGGAAAAGGACCACATTTCACCAGCGTGTTACATCCAGTAGCTGTCAAAAACCAATAAAGAACTGAGTGTGGAAAGCTAAATACCTCATTCCATCCCCTATAAACCAGTGTTTGAAGACGATAATATCAATTCAATTCCATCAAAATGCTGAATTTTATGAGTCTCTTGAAGTGAAAATCAGTTTGCCAGTGTCAAACTAAATATCGCTGACATGAATATCACAGCGGCTCTGCTCATAGTTTTGATTATGGGTGTGCATTAATTTTAAATTAGTTGGAGCTGGAAAATCACTAAAATGTCTTACATAATTAGTGCACAGCCCCTGCAGACTTTCAATACCTGCACCTGGGATGCTGCCCCCCCCCCCCCAATGCGAGGTCTCTGGACGGTCAATTTAGACTTATAATCTATTGTTCTTGAATCTTGAAACACTAATTCTGCTGATAATGAGAAACAAAAAAAAAATTTTAAAAGGTGTATCTTATATCGAGGTAAAATGTATCTTATATCGAGTGACGCTATATCGAGGGTACGTTATATCGAGGGTATGTTATATCGAAGTTCATCTGTATAGGGCCGTTCATAAACTACGTAGACAGTTTTTTTTTATTATTCTTGACCCACTCCCTCTGCGTAGACAATTGTCCATACAATTTTTTTTTTTAATTTTTATGGGCCGTGGATAATTGTCAAATTTACGGTTGAGACCAAGTGTGCATGCATAATAGAACCATTATTAATCTATTAGACGCAAAATTAGGCCATAGTGACAATTTTCACAGAGCCATTGAATTCATTTGTGAAAATTATAACATCTCGGTGGAAAAACGTAAACGTCTCGATGAATAGATCCATAAAATCGTTACTAAATACATCAACAAATGGCATGAAGCTAATCGCACGAAAGAGCGATTTGAGTCGTATTTTCGGAATTGGCTTGATGGAGAATTTGGCATCGAGGAATTCATCGAACAGGAGCAATGTGTTGCCTCAACCTCGGCCTGGGGAACAAAACGTGGACGACCTTCAAAACCTTTCTTGGATTTGAGTGAAAGAGGAAAACGTCGCGTCATCGATAAAGAAGCAGTTGATCCAAAATTCGATACCATCGAGAAAGCTTTGTTATTTGCAAGACGGACCGCTTTTAATCGAAAGGATTTTAATTTAGTTAAAGTTATTGGGCATATTTTAAAAAACCAAAAAAGCTCTAAAACCATGCTGGCTCAACTAACTGATCAACGAGGAATGATGTCACCAGAAGAGGCTTTTAGTGTACTTATCGAGGCTGGATTGAGTAGATTTCAATACGAAGTAATACATAGTGAATCACCTTCAAGATTTTCACCTTACTATGTGATCGGAGCAGTGAAAAAAATATGCGCCCCTCCTAGTGAATTCATCGAAGAAAGTGCATTGAAAATAAGAGTGAAACTCCAGGCGCTGATGGAAAATACAGTGAAACGAATCGTCCAAATAATTGATGCAGAACTCAACGAGTATATGGATAGCAACGATCTAGTTTCTACGGAACTGGTTCTTCTATGTAGCTGGGGTATGGACGGATCAACTGGATATTCGCAATATCATCAAGTGCTACCAGAAGGATGTCAGGACGATTCAGATGTATTTTCGTCCACTTTAACACCAATTCAATTGTTCATGTACAATGATCGAAAGGAAATTATGTGGTTTAATCCCATGCCTCAAAGTATTCGATTTTGTAGGCCATTCATCTTTGAATTCATTAAAGAGAGTAAAGAAGTTATTCTGCCTACAAAACAGGATGTAGAAAAAGAAATGAGTGAACTAACGCCAGTGAAAATTGAACTCTCAAACGACAAGTTTATACTTGTTGATTTTGATTTTGTCCTCAGTATGATAGACGGAAAAGTCTTAACTTATATCACTGGAAATTCGTCGATGCAGAATTGTCCAATATGTGGGGCAACACCAAATGTAATGAATGATGCAGAGAAATTCGAGGAAGGATTTATATCAAACGAAGAAGCCTTGCATTACGGCATATCTCCACTTCATGCTTGGATAAGATTTTTCGAATGCCTTTTGCATATTGCATACAGAATGGATATCAAAAAATGGAAGGTAACGAAACCGCTCAAAGAACTACCTATATGAACAAAGAAAAAAACATGTGACGACACAGCTTTACGAAAAATTTGGAGTAAGAGTAGATCAACCACGATCGGGTGGAGCAGGTACCAGTACTACAGGAAACGTTTGTCGAAGAGCATTTGGAAATCCCAAGCTTTTAAGCTCCGTGCTGAACATTGATGAAGAGTTAATTTTCAGATTCCGGAATATATTAATTGCTATTAACTGCCAGTATCCCTGGATTATCCCGACATCGTGAAAAGTTTCATGATATTTGAAAATTCTGTAAGTGATTCAGTAGTCGATACTAATAACTTCAATGCCTTGGAGGAACTTATGAAAGCAGTCGATGAAATTGAAGAAGAATTTGTTCATGATGATATTCTAACAGAGGAATAAAAAGAAATTCGTTGAAACATATTTGATTTTGATTATTGTATCATGGCTTTTTGTATTTTTTTTTACAGAAGATTT